GCCCCCCCCCGCCATTTGCCCGCCGAAGAACGAAGCGGTGCGATAGAGCTGCCGCCAAAGTGCCACTGATCGCGGCTTTATCTTTTTTTTTGCTTCGCCGCTTGGGGCGGCAAAAAAGCTGGAGCCGGCCCTGTCAGTGCAGAATCTAGACCCTCCTTCTCTGTACTTAGTCTGAGACACAGCCAAATCAATGTGTTGTGGGGAGACAAGATACATGGTTCACACACCCTTTGGGCAGCAGAACTCAGTTTCACTGGGACTGATACATGTCCCTGTGGAATGGGTTTTAGGGATGTTAGGCAAGAAGTAAAGCAGGGCCAAAAGGTCCAAGACAAGCTGTGGATTCATCATCTGCTGTTTTCAGAGGGTGCAGCACAGGCTGGAACGGTATCACAAGGGATTATTACAGCCTCTAGGCTGCAAGAGCAGCTTCATATCAGCTATCCTGCAGACCCACAGCTTGGGCTGTAGGATTCCTCCTGGCGCTCCAGCTGTATCAATAGCTCCTCTGTAGCATGACTACTTCAGCTTGGTGTAGGAGGGAGGATTAAAGTGCTTGGGTTTTTTGAAAAAAAAAAGTTCACTTCTGTGACTTCTCTTGTTGCCTCAGTCAGGCCTTTATTTGAATTCCTACCTGGATAAAGATGATTCTCCCGCACCTGCTTAGGCCTTTCTGAACTTTCTGCCATTTATTTCAGAGCCTGCTATTTTCACAAACAAAATACTCCTGAACTGTGAGACTATATGACACAGTTCATGCCATAGTGAATTTTTCTGGATTATATGAGTACATGTTGAAAACAGGGACAGAGCCTTAACCTTAACAGATAATTGTAATGGCACTAGTAGGTGTATTCCATAGTGAGTAAAATTCCATTTCAAATGGAACTTGCCTAGGTACAGTATATTTCCCTTTCCGTTCAGTTTACTCAGACCACTCTCAGACTGTGTAACTTTGTCATGGTTACAGAATTTGAATTAATCGCCTACCAGTGTGTGATGGAAACTTTACACCTTTGCTGCTGCTATTGTGTTTGCCCATCTGCTTGGTAAAAACAGTACACTAAATCCTCACTAAATTGCTCTTTCACCTTATTTTCAAACTGAACTGGAACTTTTCTTCCCATCCCATATCAAATAGGTGGTAGTGTCATGGCAATCAACAACACAAGCACTGAGATTGCTAGAAGGGTATTGAAAAAGAAAATTTGAAAAAGATCATTTTAAAAAAATCTCATATCAGTTGTCCTTTCCATCTGAGCCTTGAGACATGGAATAGTTAGTTTATAGCCTCTGTTGGAACATATTAATTTACTATTTTTTCCTTTTTATATTCCATATCTTACTACTATCTTACTACTTTTTACTTCTTAACTGTGAACATATTTTACTTGTGCTGCCATAATCTGAGATTTATAGTCACTTTATTGAGCTTTTGTAAAGTTTCTGCAATTACTTTTTCAGATATTGAATTTTCTCACCGTTCTGCTTTGAAGTCCTCTTCTCCCCTCATTGCTTCTCAAAGTACACATTGAGAGCAAATTTTCAATGTGAAGTGCTGAGATTTATCAGCATGGCTTCTATTAACATTAATGAGAGTTGCAAAGCAGAATACCTGCACATCATGCTGAACGTTTCTCCCCAAAATTGTGCTGATTGCCCTGCTAAAATAGCAGTTGAATAGTTCCCTTTGGGCTGTTGCCATGTATCAGTCATTGGTTCTTAAGCACTAACATGATACTGGAGCTGGCACTTCCTCTGAACAACTGAATAGGTCTGCCCTTAAAGTGTATTTAGTTTCCACAGTTCTTTTCCCACTATCCTAGCTGGCAGCAAAGCAGGCAAGCTGCCATGCCACTGAGCCAGCAGCAAGCATGCACATGTGTATTAGATCAGTTCTATTGACTTAAAATAGTTGTTAAATGTGAAACTTCTTGAAACCTGAAACTTCTATGTGCAGAATTACCCTAAGCATGTCAATACCAGTGGCTATTAGAAATCTCATTATTGTAGCATTTGTGCCAGAAAACTTGACAAAAGCCCTGCCAAATAAGATAGGTGCAGTTACACATGCCTGGATTCCAATAATAACAACTTTTGCAACCCATATGTTTAGAAGTTTTTCCACAGAATACACTGATAGCGTAGCCTGAACCTAGTGATTGAGAGTGTAGATCTCCTGCTAGGAAAAATCTGCATTCTGAGAAATTGCCCACCAGAAATCCGGCACACATAGTGGATGAACATCAAGTATGAACCTGTAGTTACATTTTTTAGAAATCAGTAAACATACT